AGATATGATATGAAAAATTTATTTCTATGTAGCTTGTACAAATAAGTACATAATAGCCTTTATTCTAGTTTTAATTGTCCCAATTTGAAAGTCTTTAAAATCATTAAAACGTGTTTGTCTTTCTTCAAATGTTATATCGTGAAAATACAATCCTTGTAAATTATAGTCTCTTAATTACTGTGGACTTTCTTTAGGTCGTGGTGGTTGTGAATGTATTATATTAAAAAAAAATCACAATATAAATAGTATAAACTAAAGTGGTGCACTAAAATAAACCAATGAAAACATTCGAAGCATTGATTGATTCGAAAATAAATGAGAACTCCCCGTTTGTTCGAGACAACAGTTGACCCGATATAAAACCCATCGGTCTACCATTAAATAGACATTTTATGGCGACGGCTGTTAAACTTTTATACAAAACATGCTTCAGTCTAACTAGCAACGAAACTAATATAAACTAACAGACGTATAATACAACTTTGGCAAGCATGGAGTTATGTTTATACCTTTACTTATAAATTTATCTACACCAAAGTTATAAATCTTACTTCTTATCTTACTAATATTATAAATGCGAATGTTTTGATGGATGTGTGAAGGTATCTCCAGACCGGCTGGCTGGCATATATATAGAATATAATCTGAAAGAACTCAAAGGGTATTTGCTATTTATATTCCTTGCGGATGAAGTCGCGGGCGACAGCTATGTAAATGATAAAATAGAAAATCAGCTTAATGAGTAATTTTTCAAAGATTGCCTTGCAATGGATGATATAAAAAGAAAAACTCTACAGAGTTCGCAGTCAAGCAGACGGGCTTGATTAAATCGAATACCGCCAGTCGGCACTGATCAATTAAAAACTTTCATTTACAGCTAGCAGGTACGGGAGAAAATAGGTCCGGCCCTCGCAATTCCGCTTCCCAATCCCGTAACGTAAACACTGTTAAACTATGTGATATTCTGGAGCGGGACTACGAACTTTTATCGCTTCGACGAAACGAATCGATGCGGCACGTTTAAGCGTTCAACTAACCAAATTCTATCTTTACATTCCATTTCATTTGTTTTTTTTTGCATTAAAAACTTTAATAGATTATAATCATTATTTCAGTTGCGTCAGTAAGTTAAAGAGCATGTGTGCATTGAGAAATGAAAATCGTTTTACTGATAAGATCAAAACATTTTTTAAATATTCATAACTAGGGCCCCCGCGGCTCCGCTCGCGTGTAAAAATAAAAAAAAACTTGATTAGTTGCCTATGTGTCCTCCCAGACTATGTTCTATATGTGTGCTAAATTTCATCAAAATCTGTTGAGATGTTTCGGAGATATCTTCAAACATCCATCCATCTAAACATTCGCATTTATAATATTAGTAAGATGACATTGGCGTAGTTACGAAATCTTTATTAATGAAATCAAGTAAGACTTGCTATATTCATGTTGAACTACATGAGTAATTATTAAGTGTATTACTGTTTGTAAACTACAGTATAGTGGCATTATTGTTGACTTATCGTGGGGTTCTAAGACCAATTTCTGTTTTGTCTAAGATAATGACAGGAATGATGATATGTGTTATACAGAGATTTTGGTCTCAGAAACCAACGATGAATTAGACACAAAATCCAAAGTCTTTAAGCTTTAGTTAAACAGGATTACTACAGGATTTTAGAATAGAAAATCGTCGATGTCGATGGTAATCCTTATAAAATCGCGTTCATATCACGTAATCGTAGTAAAGTCGCTGTGTAAACATCATGATATTAATAATGATTAATGTTATAATCCCGCTAAGCCTTATCTAGGCGTTTTATACTCAATCGATATTATAATAGATTCTATCATGCCTGCGGGATTTAAAAATAACAATATCTCATTTTATAATATTATTTATTACTAATAATATATTATAAATGCGAATGTTTGGATGTATTGTTCGATGGTTGTATGGATGTTTGTTAGAAAGTATCATAACGGCTGCATGGATCTCGCTGAAATTTGGCATAGATGTAGAACATAATCTGGAAGGAAAAAATAGGCTACTAATTAAGTTTTTTTTTATTTCCCCGCAGACAGAGTCGCGGGCGACAGCTAGTGAGGTCAAGTTACATGAACGATTTCCATTATAACGACAACTAGCGACATCTATTATTATTTTATATAAAGATCTAAAATTAGCGCGCAAACTTATCACATACGTTGTCATTGCGGTAGATCATTCATAGATGGCGCCACCTGTAATATTCAATTGATCGATGTTGATTTGACTAGGGAGAAGGCATGCAAAAAATGTTAGAGGCAAAACAGTGTGGTGGAAATAGTCTTTTATCTGAAATAACTAGAGTAATTTATATAATTTAATAATATAATTTAACTAACATTGTCAATAATTGGAATCAATTAAGTAGCGAAACCCTGTTTATTGAAATTCATCACGTATTGAATATTAAGAGAACGACAACTTCATGTTTTACAACGACTTAGATCTTAAGCTAATTAACGCTTTAACCGACACCCTACAACCCTCCAGCCCCTCCACCTCAATTAAGTTATCGTCAACTAATAATTTGATTATAAACGCAATAGCATCCTTAGCTGTTTAAAATGAAAATTTATCAAAAATAAGCTCTCGTCCGCGACTCTGTTTGCGCGTTGTTTTTAAATAAACTTAATTAGTAGCCTAAGCCTTCTTCCCGACCATGTTCTACATCTATATCAAATTTCAGCGAAATATTTAGCCGTTGTGGTGAAACCATCCGTCATTCGCATTTATGTAATTAGTAAGAAGTAAGACGAAATTTAATTAATTAATTGAAAATATTGCTCAAGGTCAAAGTTCTTTGTCATTTAATCTAGCGTCTACTAATACGTTAATAGTGGCTATTGTTAAATGAACCGCAGTAATCGTAAAATCTGACAATTTGTCACCAATTGTTTTTAATTCTACATCCATTCATTGCGTTAAACAATGAAGGCTAAGTTATACAGGAACTTCACTAACCTTCCTTGTTGTAAGATTGATTTGTAAGACATGGTTTTATTATGTTTGAAATTGGTTTTATTGTACTTTATACTACCGCTACTACTTTATCGCTCGCGACTCTTAGTAGCCTATGTGTTCTTCCAGGCTATGTTCTACATGTACTCCAAATTTAATCGAGATCCATTCAGCCGATCTGGAGATACCTTTAAATAAACATCCATACATCCATCTAAACATTTGGATTTATATATAATATTAGGAAGATTTGATGTAAAAAGTATGGCTTGTTCCACCTTACCACAATCTTAAAGAATACGTATAGAAAAGTGTTTCGTTGCATGGCAGTGTCAATTTTTGTTAGAACCTCTCCTCTTATCTTTAAAAGCTGGAAGGGTCAAGTAAGCGGTCACCTGAAATTAATAAAATAGGGAAGCGACCGATCCAATAAGTTGTATCCCTTCTCGTGTGGAACTTGGTCCAAAAAAGTCTTTAATGGCATGTTTTTAAAATCCATTTTCCTTTACTTCCGAATCGAGTCTTCATTAGTAAAACAATGCACATATAACCTGAGACTTAATGTTACTGAGTAATCTATCCGCAGTGCAGAGTGGAACGCGAGTTTGTGGATACACCGGATTTAACTGGTGCGATATCGAGTTTCGGTTGAAGAAATACACCGGGTACATCCCTACTCGGCAACCATGATTGATTGTAACGTGACGGAATTATGAGTAACCCAATTTGGTATACATGACTGTAATCACAACACGACTTCTTTGATATTAATCTTACTGCCTCTAGTTATCTTCTATATATATGTATATAAAAGAAAGTCGTGTTAGTTACACTATTTATAACTCAAGAACGGCTTTACCGGTATGGTTGAAAATTGGTGAGAAGGTAGCTTAGAGCCAGGAGACGAACATAGGATACCATTTATTCGTTTTTTTCGAATTTAAGCCTTTAAGAGCTGCTTTTTATTTAACTTACTAATAATATAAATGCGAATGTTTAGATGAATGGGCTACACTAATTAAACTTTTTATATATCCACGCAGACGGAGTCGCGAGCGACAGCTAGTATTGTGATATACATTATACTAGCAGTCGCCTACGACTTTGTCCGCGCGGGATTAAAAAAAAAATAAATCATAAAAATCGGTAACATGACCAGAGAGAAAGAATTTTATATAAAAAATTATAATATATTCATGTTTTCTAAGGGATATTTAGGTTAATGCAATTAGTGCCACTATTTTAATTCATTAGAGTTCGTTTAAAAACAACCATAACTTAACAAACCACGTGTTCTATGCGTCATTGTATTATTAATATTATTATCACCTTAGCAACATACTCGTAGCCTTAGCTAATTGTTAGGTGGCACTAAATCGGTAGTCGCATGGTTCCGCATTGTGTTATCTTTGCAACTTATATAGTGACAGCTTCGAAGACAAAAGCGGTGTGACAAGGCCGCCTGACTCATACATAATGAGTATTAGTATATGATTGGTTCTGTTTTGCGGTATTAGCGAAAATATAGTTTAATATTAAAATCGTCGGTTTACACTAACTAAATATTTGCACAAAAACATAATGTTGCTAACTCGGTTTTTACTAAAAACTTTTATCACCTAAATCTTGTTTTTTAATAATATTATAGATGCGAATATTTATATGGACGTGATGGATGTTTGTTTGAAAGTATCTCCAGAACGACTGCACGATTCTTGCATAAATTCGGCATAGATGTAGAACACAGTCCGGAAGAACGCATAGGCTGCTAATTAAGTTTTTTTTTAATTGTGTAAGGATAGAGTCGTGGAGACACCTAGTATTATAATATAATTCACGATAGTCAAAAAACGAATAAACGTCTATTATTATTATAGCGCTCATGTTTCTGTTTTCCTACTCAAGTAAATATCGGTTTATAAGGAAAATATTCCGAATTCTCATTCAGAGTGCACGCGTTTCGCTTCACTACTAACGTATTGATTTATTGTTTCAGATTCCTACGATGTAGCGTGAGCATGGAGGCGAGACGGTGAAATTATCGATAAAATATCCCCATCACTAATATCGTAGTGTAAGTTTCGAATGTGAATATAAAATGTGCGTGTGTTGTGTCGTGTGCGCCGCGCGTGACCGTAACCAGTGATGTCAAGTGTCGATAGTTGTGTTTATCGATAGTCGACGATGGCGACTATGGATTTGACCAACGAAGTGGTCCAGTTGCGGGCGGAGCTGGAGAAGGTGTCAGCGGAGAGGGACATGCTGCTATGCGAGGTCTCTAACTTGCGACGGGAGCTTGAGCTCAGCGAGCTGAAGCAACTGCAAGATGACGGGTAAGAACTTTGTATGATTTTTTTTATTTTAACAGTTTTTGAACTATTATAGACTTATTCTGTCGCTTTATCTGCTAGTATTTATATTTACAAAATAACTCATGTAGTTTGTTTCACGTATTATGTAATAAATATAACGTAGTTAGGAAAATGGTTATGAACACACTTGTTTATTTCAACCGATGATATAAACACGACAAGCTGCCACATATACGTCACATATAAAACGGTTTTAGAATGAACAAAGCGGACCCTACGTCTTGAGCCCTTTCAAAAGCTCGACAGACAGACGGGCCCCATCCCGTCACGGTTTACGACTGGTGCAAGACACACGCTTTTTGCCATAATAACAAAGGCTATAGGAAAATGTTTTTAGTATGTAAAATTAATGATAAATATTCTTAAGGTATCTGAGCTTGCGGATTCTAATTTTTCATTTTAAATTTCATAAAATTGTTTTAAAATCTCTGTTGCTTTACACTTTTGTTATAATCCCGAAGTGACAGGTAATCCAGTGCTCTAAACTCTACCCTGACTGGGATAGAAGGAGTGACATCTTGACAGTAAACATAATCTTTTAGAGTTACTTTTGCTTAATATTCTTGTTTAGATGTCTTCTTTTATATCCACGAAGAAAATTTTATGACCTTTTATGTTTGCTTTGAAAACGAGCTTTATTTTCTGAAGATGAATATTAAAATGATTATATAATCTAGTACAATATTTGTCTTTCGTCATACTTAGGATTATTTATGGATTTTTAATACCAAGGAGCTTCAGAATGACTAAACGGAAGATTAAATTTGGTACAGATATTGATTATAGCTTGAAGTAGTGCGTTGCCTAATTCATTTTTTTTATGACACGAGAAAGAAGTCTCAGGCGATACCCAGTGATGTTATAGAGCCAAGACGATTTTTTCTGTTTTTCACTTTGTAAACTTTTTCGTCGGCTTTCACTCGTCGCTTGCCACACAGATCTCCATTAGCCTATTGTTCGTAGTTCCTCTAACGTCTGACGTCATAAGGTCCTTACTATCAACTGAATAGACGCTTTAGCGCGCTGCCTAGTTAAAGTTTAGCGGCGGCGTTTTCTATTATGTTCTACACTGAGACAAACAAGAGTTGTTTAGTGATTTTTTTAAATAAAAATGTTGCTACTTTTTTAAAATTACTAATTTTAATAAAAGGTCTAAAAATATTTTCAATGTTTTATACTTAAAAGATTATTCTGTATTCTATACACGATGAAATGCAAATCGAATATTATATAAATTTGTTGGGGAAGAAATTGTGATGCGGGTAAAATGCTGATATCAGTTATACTTGTCCGTTTTGTCTGTACCCGTGTCAAAATTACGTGGAAATTAATGACGGTTCCTTTTGCTGATATCAGGTCTTACTTACCGTGGGTTTTCACTGATGAAATACATGTATACAAACATGTCATCATTTTCATTCCCTTTAAAAATACGGAGGTAACAATGTTTTTACTGATGTTTCGGTAATGGGATATTATAGTTGGAATAACTTATTGTTTTACTGCAGTGTTATATCGTGTATGTCCTCCCTTAGATTTGATTTCCATTCAGTATTAATGACCAATCAATATTCAGCTCCTAGGTAATTCACGAGCGTGTAATAATTCGTCAGTAACACACTTCGGACACCGACGACTACAAGACCGGTATGCAAAACACAAAATTAGAAAATCTTAACCTAAACCTTCAAACCCTCCAATCACCATAGATACATGATTTCTCAAGCCGGTTGCACTGTTAGGCATGTGACCGGTCATTCAAAACGTAAGGTCGGATTTGCCACCTCCGATCGCACAACGATTCGCCATTCACGGATTTCGTCGCGAAGGACATCGTAATATTTACTAATAATAAAGTTATTCGATAATGCATCCAGTCGAAACAAAAAACAATCAATATGCATGAATCTGGTCCCAGTTTTTGTTCACTTGACGATATCATAAGAAAAACTGAAAGGGAACAGTGATTCGCTTTCACTAAAACCACGTAACGAAATTCTTATTCATTTAAATGATTCCAAATAAATATTTAAGTGGCTGGATTTTTTCTGAATTTGTACCCGCAAAAACTAAACGTAACGCTTTCGTTTTCAATCGTGCCTCTTTTTATTTGTTTGTTTTTGTTCCAGAAACATGATTGACGTTCCAGACGTTGACTGTGATAAAATCATTATTTTGATTGTCTTGTCTTGATGGTCTTCAATTAATGTTTTTTTCAACATATATAAAGTACTAGCCTTTTCACGGGACTTCGTACGCGCGGTATTAAAAAATTTAATATGGAACTAATGAGTTCTTCCAAACTATGTTCGACATCCATGCCTTCATTATCTTTCGCATTTATAATATTAGTAAGATGTAGATGTAGGTGAAGTAGGACAGATCTGGAAGCATTGTGCCAAATGGGAATTCATTAACTCTGCCTACCTTAAGCGTTACAACCGTGAGCGTTACCTTAAAATTCGGCTGCCGTCAAACTTGTATTATAACATATTATTATACGTTTTGACACAAAATGTCATAGATGACGCAATGTGTATATATTTCTAAGTTTGTCGACAGTGGAAACCTACCCTTATGCTGTCACAGCTAATATCAGGACACAGTATTCTGATATAGCTGTATCACACGAAACCGTTATACTGTACCAACTTTCTCGCAATTTAGTACTTTAACTGTCGCATTCCAACGCCGTTAAACAATTTGCATAGTAAAAGTGCGATTATGAAGTGAAAGAGAAATTTATATTGTTACGTCTCAGAACTGATTCCACACATTACGTGTATCTAAATAATAGACATTCGTATTGTTGTGTAACTATTATAAAATGGGTGCAGTCTAGGTTAGATTAACGTTGAAATAAAGTTAAAATTGATTCGAATATAATATTAAAGAGCGTTAAATAAAAATTAAAGACTATAATAGTGATAGTAAGTAGGTTTCAAATAATATAGTTAAATTTAAAAAGTTTTTTTGTATTATAGGATAGCAAACGAGCAAGCCGCCACCTGGAGATTTAGACAAAGCGCATGCGCTCCGAAGCGATTCCATAACGAACTTCAAGAGTGTATGGAACTGACGTGCGACAAACACGCAACTTTAGTAAGTTACTGTCAGTTCTATACATTTTTGAAGTTCGGTATGGAATTGCTTCGTAGCGAATCCACTTGGTCCAGCCCCGCTTAATCGTCGGAATAGCGAAGTGACCGCTGCCTATTGACATGCGTTTATAAGTACAGACATATAATGTTATTTATTTTTTATTTGGAATTTATAACTCTGCGCTGGTTACAGTATTAATTAAACAAATGACTGTCATAATAACCCCCACCTCGAATTAATCCCCTATAACAATAACCCCTACATTTATTAAATGGTAATGTTTTTATTAGATATCTTAATGAAACGGAATTCCGAGGCCGCTTTAATCCAAATTAGGTTAATACTCCTGAAAGCTTTTCGTGCCATCTCTGTTATGCCGAGTTTTCATACCAGACGTCGGTGTCGTCTACAGAATTCATTTGACGAAAGAATTTTTGCTATTTCAACATCTTATTTTATAATGTTTATTTATTTAAATTAAATATACAGTTTTAATAACAGAATTCGATTTCAATACAACAAGCCATTTTTCAGGTTTAGATAGACGGCCTTGATAAGTAGGTAATTAAATTTACTGCAGTGAAATTCTGCACAAATAAATTACATGTTTACCGATGCAAAAAATAACGAACATTTTTCAAGTTAAGCAGTTTTTAATGTAATCGTTTCCGACCGCAAAATCAGCTTAAATGCCAGTGTCCTATTCTCAGCCTTCAAGAGCTAGGTTCGATTAATTTCGTAATATTCGAATATCACGTACATATGCCTTTTACCAAATTTATGGAGGTTGCGTATAACATGTTATGTGGTAATCGGACATTTCAAACGAAGATGACCTTACACTATGTCCACGCGCGACCTTTGTTGACGTATTTACTATTAAGTTGGACTATTCGTTGTGGTTAATATAAGAAATTAATTAATTAAAGTTTTCATGAAGGAGGTCAAGAATGGATCACATGAAAGGTGACCCCATGATGCGCCGGCCGGCCGGATCAAACATGGCAAAATAGGATAGTGAGATGATATTGGGCGCAGAGGTAAAGTTAACAATTTAGACTAGAGTAGTGAAGTAGATACATAGTACATACTCTTTGCTACTTTATGTCAAGTACCTGATAAATATTTAAAGAAGGTACTTGGTCTTGTAAATTACTATATTGTACATCTCTTGAATACCTTGACATCTGAAGGTTACACTCATTGCCAATTCCGCAGTGAAGCCGGAAAAGTAAATTGATTCCGTTGACAACATACTGATGCATTTTATATTACTTTGGTTTAATATTAATAATATATTGATGATTGAGAAATCACTTGAATTAATTGTTTTGATGATATTTCCGTTGGTATAAATTAAATCTTGAATATACAAAAAGTTCTTTACTTCTTTATGTTCTTTTAAACGCAATAGTTAAAACGTCCTCCAGTTCTATTTTGTAGTCTTTTACGCATGTTGTAAGTCCTCAATATTTTGTTATTGATGCAAACAAAACTGAGTATTGGTCCATTATGAATAAAGATAACACAATAAACAATGGGTTGAAAGAAATTGCATCGATGGCAATTAATAAGCAGATTATATTGGGCTTAACTGATGTGTACCATTTTTGCAATATCACCATGTCACTGTCTTTATTTCATGTCTTAAGTTACCTATTTCTCTGTTTATTATTTTGTCAGACAAATATTCATCCCCCACTCTATGCTGCGAACTGATGTGACTATTAAAAATATGTTACAAGAAAAAATATTGTAAATTAGACAAAGAAAGCATGTTCACCTGCTCCATTTATTTAGAAATAACAAATTCGGGATAGCGTGGGAATAAATCTTCCATGAATAATATAGCGAAACAA